ATTTGTATTGGTTGTTGATTTTGTGTATCTGTTGGATTTGGAGAAAAAATTCTATGATATGTATATGGTTTTTGCACTCCTTGTCCGCGATATTTTTGAGTATACGGTGCAAAAATATCTGGTTGTAAATAATCATCATCAGATGATAAGTAATCCGTATGATGAGGTGTTTGCTTTTTATTTTTATTTTGTTGAAAGAATGGGTAATTTTCACTACGATCCTGTGGAGGATGTGAATTAGTTTGAAAATTTACTGAGTTGGTTGTTGTCATTGGGTTATCCCAATATCGAGATTTTACATGATTATTATTAGTTTTTTGTGGGGGATAGTTTGTTTTTGATGAATGTGCGTAATTATAATTGTGTTCTGCAAAAGTGTTTCTTGTGAACGTTCTTCGTGTCTTTGACGGTACTGTCATAGGTCTATATGTTTGATAATCCATTTGTGAATATTTTGGAACAACCGAAGGTTTAACGGTTGATTGTAAGGTTACTTGTGCTAGTGAAGTGTTTGTATTTTTTGGTGTTGTTAAATTTGGACGTATCGGTGAAATGCTTTGTTGTGTAGTTGTTGTTGTTTGGACGATTTCTTCATTTATAAAGTGTGATGGTGTTTGGATATCTTGTTGTGTAAGATTCCTAGTTCCATTAAGGTTTTCATTGTGTATGACGGTCGAACTTTAACTGTTATTTCGCGTATCAGGTAAAAATGTATTGTAGTTTAATGGTGTTGCATCAATAGTCAGTGGTACTACTCTCACATAATCTCTTTGATAAGATATTGTACTTATTGCTTGACTTGAAATTGATTGTGGGATATTTAGAAACGCATGATGAGACCATTCGGGGTCCCAAACGTAGTCTGACTGTTCTGTGATGACAGTATCATCATTTGGATTTTGAGGTCTGAAATTTTTTCTTGCTTGTGAAATTAAGTCTATATTATGTGTGAAATAATCTATTGTAAACCATGCCAAAATTTTTTGTAAGTCATGTTTTGTGTGTTGTGAAACTTCGTCTTTAGTGAAATTTTCTTTGATTATATGTAGAAAAGTTGAAAATAACGTGATTTCTTGTCGTACTTTTGTATGTTTGGATGTCTCAGTTGGTGAGATACTTTTAAATTCTGTTTTTTCTAATATTGAAATATAGCTATATATTATTGCAAAAACTTCGTTAGTAAATATGGAGTTTGCTCTTTGTGAGTTATGATATTGTATGCTTTTAATATATTCTCAGAATACTTTTGAAAATTCTAATTCAAGATCGTCTGTTTGAATTACATATTTGCGATGATTCGGATTTGGTGTGCTGAATTCTATAGTGTAGATTCCCTATTGTTGTGTTAAATTACATATATCTTTCAGATAATGTTCAATAATTTGTCTTTTGATTTTTACTTCTGGGAATTTTGCTTTGCATGGGCTGATTCCGGGTTCAAACAAATTTAGGAGTAAATTCTTGCAAAAGTCATGCTGCCCTCTATTATCGGGTGCATCTACCAGGAAGGGGTAAACCTCTTCGTCATCTGGACTTTCGTCACTTTGAATGTGGCTGTGGCTCATTTTTTCGTTTAATGACTGTTAATATATAACTATCGATGTGCCTAATTGGTTGATTCCAATTATACAAGTGTACTGGTTTGTGTTTATATTGCTTTTTTATTCTTCTTTTTCCTCTTTTTGATGAATTTGAAGTTGTTTCTGAGTCGGAAAAATATAATTGATTGTGAATGAGACAATTTTTATCAATCGATTCTTATAATTTATAGAGTTCATCTAAATTGCTGGCTTCTGATTCTGAAAATGCGTTTCTATTTTTTGAAAATCTTTTTCGTGTGATTTGTCTTTGTTTGTTTATTATTTTTCTTTTTATTGTTAGTCGTTTTGTTCTGATATATCCAACTGTTTGTGTATGAGGTGTGATTACAAGATCGTATTTTTTGTTATCTATTTCACAGTTGTGTAGAACGATTGTTTGTTTGTTTCCTAGATTTTTGAATGACATAAGTTTTAGGATGAGGGATGCAAAAAGTTGTTAGATGATGTCTACTTTCTTAAATTGTTAGTCCTTACGATTTTTTGGTTAGCTTAACCTGGGTCTATTTGTTTAGGGTTGGAGAGAAAAGTATATCGATTCCCATTAATGATTTTTTACTTTCTCGTGGCTAATATAAGCTAACGTGTTAACTTACTTAATCTTACTTAGGGGTAGTGATTGTGTTCAAGGGTTGGAGAATAGTAAATCGATCCACAAGGTTCAGGTATAATTAGAACGCGAGTAGTTCGTTAGATACTATTTTAAACTTACTAAGTCTAAGATTTATCCTGGGTCTGGTAAGAGGAGGGTTCAAGTGAAGGATGAATAACCGAAGTTCTTCACTGTTTATCCTAATTTGAATGGTTAGTTTTGTTGAAAAATTTCTATTAGTCTTGGGTTTTTTTGAAGGGTTGGATAGTGAATCGACGTTTTAGGTCGTTAGACACTTGCTAAGTGGGTGGGGGAGAACAAAGGTGTTCTTTTTGATCCAAGGATAGGCCTCGATGATCAAGTTTTAAATTTAGTGATATAGAAAATTAATTAAGATCCAAGGATAAGCCTTGATGATCTGATTTTAAAATTAAGTGAATTTAAGTTTAAAATGATTTAAGTTCGTTTAAGAAAAAGATTTAGTTTTTTAATGATATTAGTGAGCTTATGATTGCTGTTATGTTTAGGTGATGAAGCTGGGACAACAGATGATTTTATGATTACTAACAATTTATTGTCATGCTACTAATTTTTGTTTTGATTTTCAATAAATATTTTCCAAACATTTTTTTATAATACTGCAGAATTTAAGAAAACGATCTGAGATCTTTTTATCAATCGTTATTGTATATGAATAATTTTGTTTAGCGCCTGAAATGATCATGAAGATTGACTTCAAGATTTTATGTTTGCAAATGAAAATCTAAATTCATTGCTAATAAGATTCTAAATATCAAAGTTTGTGTTGGCTTTTGAGTTTGTGAGTTTGTGAGTAATTTCGGGTACACCGTCTGCTCGTCACGCTATCTTATTTTCGGCCGGATAGATTCGTGCAACTTCTTAGACTAATACTGATCCTAATCTTACTCTTATATTATCTAGTCTCAGGGTGTTTAACTAGTCTCTGCTAGGCTCAATAGATCTAGGGTATACTGGTTTGTTGCGGCAGCTGAAGTTCTCTTGGAGAGGCAACTAATTTCTAAGTTAAATTGAAATCTCTCTGGTGCTGAAATTACAAGTAATTTCAGCACTTACAAATAAGTGGGTTGTTAGTTAGATGGATCATGATTGGTTAATATTAAATACTTTACAGTGGTAAAATATCTAATTTATCCAATCATAAAATATAGTTTAGATCAGGTTCCAAAAGGGTCGAACATGGCCGACCGGTGTTTATTGATTTACTAAAACGTATAAGTGATGCGCCGGATCCTTCTTTCACAATTATTTCCACAGGGCCACCAATATGACTCCAGTACCAGGATTGATGCAATTGGAAAAGTCATTAAACAGCAAAGTGAAGTGGTGTTCAAAGCTCCTTCAATTGATTGCTTGCTTAAACACTTATTGACATTTTGCATCCTTTTTTTGACATTTTTTTTTGATTTTGCAACACACAAATGAATTGTACTGCATCATTTCATCCCATCAATAAAACGATATATTGAAGTCGCTGCAAATCAATTCAAGTAAAGCAAACTGAATGGCATAAAAATTTTATATCGTCCTTTGACGAAACCAAATTTAAGTTTCTACGAATCGCTTTTTTGACAACCGTTTAGGCCAGAAAACAACCTGAACACTGCTTGATAATTTTTTCGACGAATCAATCCAAGCTTTGAAGTTAAAATGTTCCGGGTTTGCATCGCTCGCTTGAAAACTTGAAATTGCTTTGCCTATTGCGTCTTATAAAAACCTATTTGTTGTGAACCAATTCAAATCGTCAAAACATCTTGTCGTGATAGATTGCTTCGAGAAATTTTTGTGAACAATTGCAAGCTATTCAAACAACCGTAATTGTTGAAATGTCCATTGCTTGAATAGCTTACTTCAAGAACTCATTTTTTGCGAACTTTTTCAAGACATCAAATTAATTTGAAATAGATCAAATTAACGCACTTGTTGCTTTCTTATCAAATTAGCTTCGAAAACATTATAATTAAAAATCCTTCTGAAACAAGAAACTGCGAACTTAACTTTAGCTGTTTGACCTTTTGTATTTATCAGGGATTGAAAAACGATCATGGAAGGTCTGAAAAAGCTTTTGACATTACCGGCCGTTTCAAAAAAAGGTCATGCACGCTAATGATATCTCTTAAGCCATGTTTAGCAATTTTGGATTTTTTTAGCGTATTATAAAACTGCTATAGCCATTTAAAACTGCAAAAATTCTAAGTTTGCGGCAATGCTTTGGTGAATAAGTTTCATGGGCGTGGAGGATGCTTTTATAATAAATACTTTTCAACCTTGGGGGCCCTTTGGTGTTAGGGTCGAGCCCTTTGGGAGACCAAGAGTCGAATTCCCGGTAGGGGGTCAAAAATATGTCGAGATATAAAAAAACTGCTGAATGTTCCTGCTACTTAGACTCCTATTTACAGCGATAGATCTCCATTTTTTCGTTATAAGAGTGGGAATATTTTTTCAATAATGTATATCGGTTAGTTGATATTTCACTTGAAAAAGAGCAATAATAGAAATTCGGATTTTTATTTGTGTTAACTGTGATCGGAACATTCTGCATTACTTGCCTATTACAGTCGACTACTCGTGTTGTTCCAATTTCTATAACTAATTTTAACAACCTCAAAAAAAGTATATCAAATTTAAGTTATGTCAAATTAAATCTTTATCAGTCTTGATTCGGAATTTAAAAATCAATAAGTGAGTTTGTTTTTTCAAATAATTTTGACCGGAAAATTCTGTACTGCTTGCATAGAAAAAGGTGATTCTAATTGATTTTGTCAATGTAGGTGACTCTGGCTCGACAGCCACCCGACTGAAGGGCAAGAGTGCCCACTGTGTGTTGGGGGTGTTGGCTCTGGGGGCCATGTGTCCTACCACTGAGGACAATGCATATCCCATGCAGTACACCAGAATCAACGAGTACAAACAGGAAAGAACAGAAACTGAAACAGATCAATTTAATTTAACTACCGGTATAACCTAGTCAAACTAATTTAGTTTAATTTGACTAGCATTATCCCAGTGCGCATGGCTGGTAAATGTTATAGGGAGTAGCTGTTCTTATTGTTCCGACTTTCGATACGAAAGTAACGGAATATTTGTGCTCGGGGTGGGTTTTTTTTTCTTCAGACAAATTGCGACTTTTTAACTAGCCATTTTTGACGGATTTTTTTATATCATTCAAAAGGTATTGTTGCCCTGAGCTCAAATTTGAAAAGATATTTCACCTGTGATCATTTTTCGTAAAGTTATGGGGTTTTAAAGATTGCCATTTTGGCCAATTTGGGACAATTAACGCGCGATAAATTTCGCGCTGTTAACGCGTAAGCGATATTTAATCCGTCTTAGAAATCGTTTCAAATTGGTTCAAGGAAGCTTATATGCTATAAATTATTTGTTAATAGGCGCAAAATCTATCACTTTGTACTTAATATGACGTGTGGGGGGATATTTGATGTTTACAAAAAATCTCAAATTTAAAAAAAAAAATTTTTTTTTTTATTACATTGAAATTTTTCATCTTATTAATGCTCCATAGACCTTAAAAGGTAATCGGAACTTTCAGGGCTTCGCCCTGATACGAGCAGTCTTGTTGTTCCAACTTTCGATACGAAAGTAACGGAATATTTGTGCTCGGGGTGGGTTTTTTTTTTCTTCAGACAAATTTCGACTTTTTAACTAGCCATTTTTGATGGAATTTTTTTATATCATTCGAAAGCTATTGTTCCCCTGAGCTTAAATTTGAAAAGATATTTCACCTGTGATCATTTTTTGTAAAGTTATGAGGGTTTAAAGATTGCCATTTTGGCCATTTTGACCAATTTGGGACAATTAACGCGCGATATAATTCGCGCCATTAACGCGTAAGCGGAGATTTAATCCGTCTTAGAAATCGTTCCAAGTTGATTGAAAGAAGCCTATTTGCCATAATTGATTTGTTACAAGGAGCGAAATCTCTTGTTTTGTACTTTATATGGCGTGTGGGGGGATGATTTTCATCGAAAAATTTTCAAATTTGAGAAAAAAAATTTTTTTTTCATTTATTTTAATTCATTTAATTTTTTATGTTGTTTATGTTATTACTGCTCCATAAACGGTAACAGGCAGTCGGAACTTTCAGGGCTTCGCCCTGATACGAGCAGTCTTGTTTACTATTTCTATTCTCTTGAAATTTTTACTCCCGTTGAAGTTTTTTGTGGACACACTGGTCGCGGTTGCCTCTTCTTTGGTCGCGTTGATCTCATATAGTTTTTGCTTGTATATCTTCTATGTCTAGATATGCCGAATTGGTCGCAATATTGGCCGGGAAACAAAATTGGTCACAATATTGGTCGCAAACCAAAAACTTGGTCTGGGTAATAAGTTAATTTAAATTGATGCTGAAAAGGCCCTGTTTGAAAAACCGAGGATGGACCAGAACTCGGCCGATGAGCTGAACAGGTTGTGGCTGTCCAGTTTGATCACGATGTTGCTGATGGTAGCAGTAGAACTGATTCTCCAGTCATGAAAATGTTTATCAGCCACGTATTTATCATAAACTCAATTGTAGCTTGGTAACTTTCAAATTTTTTTTGTATTTGTATATAACGCATATTAATTCTATTATTCGATTTGCTTAAAGTTGATTGATTAGTAAATAAAATATTACAGAAAAACAGCTGCCTCCTGCAAATTGTGTGACAGGATGAACAAGGTTGATGGCTGATTAAGACTTCTCTTTTCAAGGAAACTAAATGCAAGAAGAGTTTTCCGTTTTTCACTTAACGGATATAATTTTTTGGTTATGTTCCGACCACTTCCCGAAGTGAAAGGAAAAAACAAAAAACTATGGCATACGGTGTTTTTTATTTTGACAACCCCAAGAAGAGCTAGTACAGGGTCAAGTGTAGGTCATATCAAATAACTATTGGTCGTTTTTCGCATTCCAAAAAAAGTTTGGAGAAACTCATAAAATTATTTATCAACTTTATAATCCAACTTCAACTTCCTTTTAGCAATTAGTTGTTGACTAGGAAAAACCAGAAGAATAGAAAAAAAACAAGACTGCTCGTATATCAGGGCAAAGTTCTGAATATTCCGACTGCACTTACCGGTGAAATATCTCTTTAAATTTGAGGTTAGGATAACAATACCTCTCAGATGGTATTGAAAAATTCCTTCAAAAACATTTAGTTAACGAGGTCGAAAAATCACTGCATAAAAACACACCAAGCGTAAATATTCCTCACTTTCTTTGGAAGTCGGAACAATAAAAATTTGAATGTTTTGACGGGTATATGAATGCATGAATCAATTATTATTACTAATTTTTCTAGTTTTAAGGGTTTCATATTTAAATTATGGTTTAGTATAACTACATTACTAATTTGAGAATGATAAAAGTTACTTAATTAAAATATGGATTAGTAAAACTACAGTACTAATTTAAAAGTATTGAAGATTACATACACTTAAAATATGGATTAAAATCACTACATTTCTAATTTATTATTATTAAAGGTTAAATTTTTATAAGTGAAAATAAGATTTTTTTATAGTATTGTGAGAATTTTGATTTTAACTCGGACTCAATGAAAGTAACCACTATTTAGTATAAAAACTATTCTTTTCGCTCAAATTCACTTCGTTGCCTATATTTGTAACCTTTCAAACTCGGATATGCAGTTATATATTAACCCATATTTTATTTATGTAATTTTTATTAGCCTCAATGTGGTAATGAAATTTAAAAAACTCAGGTTCGAAAATATGTAGCCTTTACTTTTCCCAAATTATTAAAGTAATTATAATAAATAAAAACTGAATTATGTAGCCTTCAAAACTCCTAGATTTTTAATGTAATTGTAGTTAATACTTCGAAAAGAGCACTCAAATTAAATGAGTTGATCTATTCAACCTTAAGTTTGTCTTCAAACTAGAAATTGAATTATCACCGAAAAAGAAAGGCAGTTATCTGCACATTAGAAATCTTGATATTTCCCTTTTTTTGCCCAAGCTAGAAATGTAGATATCTGCAAACTACGAAATTCCATAAGTATCTCCAAATGATAAAAAAAAGGTTTCTACTGTTATGATTCCAAATTAGAAAGTAAACATCTTCGAATTAGAAATGCAGTCATCTACAAATTAGAAAAGTAGTTATCTTCAAGACAAAAACTTTGTTAAATGCAATTGATCTCCACAGTAAAAAAATAATTATATATATATTTTTTTATAAATTAGAGCACGCAACTCTCTGACTTTGTGATTATATACCGTTTTTTTTCACTACAAATGTCACTATTTCTTTACAGACATATTTCTTTAAAGAGATATAACAATATTCTTTCAGGATAGCTTGCAGAACTCTCACTTAAGGAAAATATCCAACCTTAATTCGATTTTCATTTTGCCATCCTGTAGAGCTTGCAGCACTCTCAGTTCCTGAACACCAAATCTTTACTAATCTCAAATTTTAACCATGCTAGGAATTTTGCATCAATGTTCAAGTTAGTTAATAGCAATTTTTGGAATTTTTTTATCAAGAAAAAGCAATTTATCATCAAAATTTTGAGCAAGTTTGCACTAGAGTGGTAGTTGGTGTTTCGGTTTTTTTTGTATAGATTGAAATTGAGTCATCCAAGGACTGTACTTTGCAGAACGCCTTGAAAAAAATCAATCCAATCTGATTCAGTATAAGTAACTATTTTTTTCACAACTATGTTCAACTTGGTTAAAATAAAATTTCTGGAACATTTCTATCAGGGAAAGCAAATTATCATCAACATCTTAATCGAGATTGTACTTTTTTGGTAGTTGGTAGTTGGTGGTCCAGATCATTTACGTATAGATTAAAAATGAGTGGTCCAAAGGCCCCATATTGCGGAACGCTTTGAAATAAATCAATCCAATCTGATTCGGTTGGAGTAGTTTATTTGCTGTCTATTGCTGTCTATTGCTGAATTTTGAGTAAGCTGTACTTTCAAGATTAATCTCTATGAAACTGTGATTTTTAGAATCGAACGCCTTCTAAAGATTATGACGGGAGACATAAACAAATTTTTTATCATCAATTGAAAATCGAGATAATTCAGTACGGTATATTAACGCTTTTATGGTTGAGTAAAGTGAACGGAGACTAACTATTGATTTTTCAAAACACTTATCATTCATTTGCTTATCTGTAAAAGTTTATGCATCTAACAAAAATCTTTGACAATGTCACCGCAATTGATATAGGTCTTTTTTTTCGGAACACTTTTGTGCATGCAGAGATAATAGGAGCTTGTTAACAAGCGCTCTGTTTTAATGAAAAAACGACCTATTGATTTCTAATAAACCATGCAGCTAGGCTGACTGTACCGGCCAGGCCAGATTCTGCTCTTGAAAATTGCCAAAAATCTTTCAGATCTCGGTTCAAGCCCTTCTCCAAAGACAAAAAACCGGATTACGAGATAAATACGATCACATGAGAGACGATTCTATGAACGGAAAAGAAGAAAAGGACTAATCAACAGCGCTGGAGAGAAATATATCAGATTAGGAGTTTGATGAGATAGACCAAGCCGACAAGCCAATAACGTTGATGACATCACTATCCTTCATAATTCCAACTTTGCGCAATGAACGACTTTGTATTTGTTTGGTAGTTGTGGTTCAGATAGTTTGTATATCTTTATTTTTATTAACACAGTAGTGCAAGATCTGTACCTTGCAAATTAAATTGTCTAGTCTGATTCATTGTTTTCAATTATTGTTTTTTTTTGCTGTATTTTGCTACGAATAATCTTCTAGAGGTAACGGTTCACTTAATTCTATAGAAGATTTTTAGATACATTATGATTTTGCGCCCCCAATTCTCATTGATATATGTCTATTTTATCTATTTTTTAGATCATATTTTTTGTATGCAGGCTGTAACTAAAAAATGTTAATCATAACTCTCATTTGATAGTAATGGAACCTGATCTAAACTATATTTTATGATTGGATAAATTAGATATT